CCCCGCCCCCAACACTCTAAAATCAAACCAAACCGCCTAAAAATCGCGTTCTCTCCTGCAGGTAGATCCACATCCCAGAGCATTCTCTTTTTTAGATTAAATAACACAGGAGCTCACGAATGGTTGCTTTTCATACAAAAAAAGAAAGTTTGGTAGAATTGAGTAGCCCCAGGACAGACTTCCTTTTTTGTTACATTGGGCGGCTCAGATGACCCATCACCTCCTTTTCCGACCTCCCAGCCCACTGCCGGTGGGTCCCAGCCACTCAGAAACGTGTGTCCCTTACTCTCTGGAGATACAGAGACGGGGGACTCACAAGGGGAAGAGAAACTGAGATATTAACTTTAAAAGTGAGTTCAAAAATTGTCAACATTAACTTGGACACATGGTGGGCTGGCATGCACATTTGGAATGCACATTTAATTTACAAGAGGAGACATGAGAGGAATTTCAGGTGCTCTGGGATGCCCCCAGACCCTCCACCCCAGGGTGGGGGCAGGCAACGTTGTCCTGCCTTTCTGCTGATGGTGATTAATGCTCTAGTTCTCCCTCAAGCCTCTTAGTAAGCTCATCGATTGATCCCAAGTTGGGACACAGTCAAAATATGCCACAAAATCTCGAATTCTGTGTCTTGGATGAGACACAGGACAAACAGAGAAAGCAGAACAATTTCACACTGAAGGTGCTTAACTCAGAGCTCCCAGTGATATAGGTCTGAGTATTTCCATCACTATCCTTGACACAGAACTTTAAGAAACTTAAAATAATGTGGACATTTCTACCAGCAAGAAGCCAGAGCTCCCGAATGAGGCTGGACACCGGGTATTGCAGCTTTTACTGGCACGCCTCGCCTATGTGCCGTCCACAAAAGATTTATCTTTTTCAGCCAAGCGCCCAGATGGAGCTGGTTCTTCTTCTTGTTATCCACCCCACCCCACTGTCCCGTTCAAGCTCTCCACCCCCACATTTTTAGAATTAAATTAAATTTCAGAATTAAAGGCACATGTCCTACATTCAGGCGGATTAGCATAACGGCTGGGTCCATATGAAATGATAGCACTCATCCCTTGAGACTTTTCATTTCCACAAGAAAAAAAAACAAACCTCAGGAAAAATCTGACAGTACCGTGCAGACTCTGTGGCAAGCCTCTGACATGGGAAGGGAAAGCGTCTTTGAAACGAAAACATCTTCCAGCAATGGCAACGTTCATCAACATCATCGTCACTGTGAAGAGAGCTTGGTGACAACGGCGCTGGCTGAGGGCTTTGGGTGACAGTGTCATGGTAGGAACCGGAATTGCTATTAATTGGTTCAGTAAAACATCGTGTACTCACAGAAAGACGGAGAATGTTGTAAATGCCAAAGAATCAGCAAGTGTCTTCTTCTGGGCCTTCTAAATACCAGAAACACCCCAGCTTCTTTCCGCATAAGGTGACTTGCCAGAATCATATAAAAGCAGATGATGATAAATATTGGGGCATCACTGGCCTCTGTTTAATGAACTTTTAGTGGCACACTCAAAGTATTCTCCTTTCTTCTCCTTTAGAGCAGGCTTTCCACATTCGTGAATCTGTACGAGTATCTTTGACGCCATTTTCTGAATTATTCATGGAGCTGGAGTTTTTCTGGTGCACAATTCTGTTTTCTTTGCTAACCTTGTTGCAAAAACTTCCTGTACCATCCTTTTGGCTTGTCCATTGTCAATGTCAAGTTTAGTTCTGAAAAGGCCCTCGCACCATGGGTCATGGTGAACTCACGTATAGGACAACAATACAGTCCAACTGTGTGTTCAGAAAATGGCCTGGAACTGCCTTATAAGCGGAGATGCCCTCTCCAAACTTGCCCTTGAAATGTAAGAGCATGAACAAAAACAGATCCTGTTCTTAAAAAGACACATCTTCCATGAGCCTCGGTCTTCAGGGAAGCAGGTGAGGGGAGACTTCTCATTATAGCCAGTATTTGGCCCTTCTGGTTATGGAGGGGCACACTTGCTGTTATTCATTTATCTAACAGATATTTATTTAGCAACTACTTGCTAGAGGGCAGGCACAGTTATAGGCACTGTGGTATCAGAGTGGTACTTGGTTCAGACCTGCTCTTTCCTTGATTTTAGAGTGTGTTATCTGCCTTGCAGAAAAGAGTACAGTGGATTACAGAGCCCCGTCTGCCTCATCCAGGGGAGACGTTCCCCAGCTCTGCAGGGTGACAGGACCATGTGCTCTGTGGGCACACCCAAGGTGAAAGCCAGAAGCTCGGGGTAGTAGGAATGCTCAGTGTTGACAAGGGGGCCAGTCCAGTGGCCAATGCGGGCTCCAAGGGCACGGACTGCCACAACCAAGCACACATTCCAGAAAAAAGACCGGGGCAAGGATCAGGAAATCAAGAGTGAAAAGGGAGGCCAAGGATGCAAAGACCAGAAATAAGTCAGAAAAGGGACAGGACCAAGCACGCCTTCAGTGACACAGAGGAGCTCCATCAAGATTGGCAGTGCGGCGTGGCACCCCCGTGAGCCAGCTCCCTCCTTGAAGGGAGCCTCTGGCTTTGGGATTTAGGGTTGGTCCATCTAAGGCACCGTCCCAGATCTGGGGGCTTTTGTTTATTGGGTCAGCAACTACGCCATCGCCATCGAGGCAAAGGATGAGGAAATCTTTACCAGGTGTTTGATGGAGAAATCTCTTGAATCCTCTTGAACAAAGAACACGTGGGCATTGGTGGGTTTCAGGGTTCTATCAAACACACGTGGAGGCTGGAGAAATCAGAGGGAAACGGAGGGAGTCCGGTCTTAGGAGTCTCTCATTTGGGTTTTTTAAAAACATTTTTTTAAATGTTTATTTATTTTTGAGAGACAGAGAAAGCCCAACGCGGGGCTCGATCTCATGAATCAGATGCTTAACTGAGGCACCTGGGTGCTCCTCATTTGGGGTTAGTTTTAAACCGACATTGAGAAAATTTGTTAATTTCAAGGTATTCTGCTATTTTGCCAGAAGACTCATCTTTTGGTGGAGTAATGCTTGGGGGGTGCTGGGGCAGCTCATGCAGGAAGTGGGTCTGGAAGGAGCAGAACTGTATGGTCAGGAGGAAGACAGGGGGGCGGGTGTGCCCTTCCTCCTGGCACGACGCTGGCTTCCACTGGGAGTGGAGGCAGGTTCCAGAAGCTTCTCAGGGCAGCACTCTCTGTAAGGTTCTTACGAAGCCACCACCAGGAGAAACACACAAACGATTTTGAATGAGATGAAAGGGCTCGGAAAGTAACTTTTCTTCAACCAAGGAACTCCTCTACTGCAGCTCAGTTCTGATCCAAGACAGTGTGTCTGTCTCAGGTCCCCAGGAGTAATTTTCTCTCCATCAGAAACTTGCTAATCCAATTGCTTCTTTTTTCTTTGGATTGTAGCATATTCAGGGGCCTCAAATTTAATAAAGGGAAATTCAGTAGCGTCGTCTGCTGTGCATAAAAACTGGTAACATCCCATTTACATAGGGATTTGATGCTGGCTCTCTGGATATGGTAGGGAGATACTAAAGCACGTTTGCTTGGTGACTTTGAGAATTTATTGGACAATTAACTTCTGATTTCATTCTCCTCCTTGCTAAGGAATCATAAACTTTCCTTAATACCATTATGCATTCCTGCAACCCGACTACTCTCAGCTTGATTACAGATTCTTAGAGCTTCATGGTGTGGAAGACGATGGAAATTAAGTTACGTGAAGAGAAGGCACGGCTGTTGTGTTTCTGAAGGTGTTCTTATTGGTAAGAAACGTGCACACAGTGAGGGGCCCACCATTCTTCACACTGAACCTCTGATGGAGAAGGGAGTGGCTGTGCACTGTTGACACAAGCCATCTTTCTGGACCCACATATCTATAAAAATATTTAAGGCATTTATTTTACATTAAAAGAAATCTAGACATTTTACAGAGGATTATGGATCATGCCTACAGAAAAAAACTCGAAGCCTGGTGGGTCCAGAAATAAACCTAACACTTGATATAAAAAAAATTTGCTATTAAGATGTGTGATGGAGAATATCATAATGATTCCATTTTTTTTTTTTTCCAACAGGGAATAGATACTCATTCTAAGCTTATGGCAGGAAATTTGATGGCAGGAAACCTTTCATAAACCCAGAGAGGGGCTTGAGGGCTACTCTCAATGTTCCCGACCTCAGGACTAGATGCTATCACATCATATCATACGATCATATCCGGGACCAGATGCTATCACATCATATCATACAGTCATATCCAGGACCAGATGCTATCACATCATATCATACAATCATATCCGGGACCAGATGCTATCACGTCATACTGTAGGATCACATCTGGGACCAGATGCTACCACAGGTCTGTCTCTTCCTGCGGGTCAATCTCTTCATAGAACAGAGAGTTTCCAGCTACTAGTACCTCCTTCCACACAAGGGCAGTTTAGGAAATCACCCACACGATGTTTAACTCTGTGACTTGTGAATATATCCACTTACTATTTTTCCAGTATTTTCATGTATGTTGATTCCTTTGTTTTGAACTGGGGGTCCGCTTTGTCCCACAGGGTACATTTGGCAACCTCTGGAGACTTTTTTGTGGTCATGACCTGGGGTGGGAGGCTGTGTCTGGCATGTGGTGGGCGGGGGCCAGGGATGCTGGTACATATCCTATACTGCCAAGGACAGACCCCTTACCACCCGATACAACAGAAACTTATTCACTCCAAAGTTTTATGATGCTGAGGAAGAGAAACCCGAGGTTAATTTTTATCCGTATAGTACAGACTGGAGCACAAATAACCTCTCTAAACTTCCTAAGTGGACATGATGATACATCTTCTATATAATCTGTAATGAAGACACACATCAGCTCTCTGCATCACTGTTTTAAAGAAACTCCCACAAAATGATTCCCAATGGCAAGGATACCGCTAATCTGTGTTTACTCAACACACACTCACGTGATCAACGTCCCGTGAAACAACCAAGGAGAAGGAAGAGGGTGCAGGTTACCTCTCGAATAAGACCTGGCTGTAGTCGTCCAGGACGTGGGCGTGAGTGTGGAGAAGGATGGTGTTGTAGCCTACCAATGCCGCCATCATGATCAGCATCTTCAACTCGTAATTCACCCGCAGGAAAACCGAGCAGGAAATCAGTCCCAGAATGCAGCTGTAGATAAAGTACTGGAGTGGGGAGAAAAATCAGAGGGACATTTAGGATCTCTTCCGAGAAATGCTGGAATAGGATTTCCCACTGGGGATCACCTCCACCAAGCTCACTCACACAACTTCCAATCTGCCTGTTTTTTGGCCCAGAGGTACGTGCCCAATAAGAATAATTGTGCATATTGCCAAATGGAAATAATGTTTAACAGTCTACATAGTAGGCAGATCATCACGTGCAAATGTCATTTGCTCCTCGAAAATGAAAACCATGTGACTCTGTACACAGGTATCTGTTTTAAAAGTTAGTACGTAGAATCTCTTTAGGCCTTTCAATTCTTAATTTATGAAGAGGATATAAACGATTACTGGTAGTTCTGTTAAAAGCATATGGAAGCCTTGGCATTTTACTAAAGGAGAAACTTCGGGTCCAAAGCAGAGGGGATTTAATGAACTGAAAGCTTTGGCCAGGGTGCGTCACAGATTCCCTAGAAGTGCACAGGCACACGAGGAAATGGGAAGAAGGAGGGTGGCGGGAAAAAGCCAGCACATGGCATCCCGTCGCCCCCAGAGGGGTCAGCAGTGCCATGCCTGCCCCACGCTGGTGCCCCCTCACTATTTGCCCTGCTGGACATCACCGAGATGCGAGGGCCCCAGGGCCCATCTTACTCTGCTCATTCATTAGCGGGGTTACCAGTGACCCACCCCGGCTGTGGTGCATGTCTTCATCTGTAAAATGAGGGGAAGAATGTCATCCTTTCTAAAAAAAATATTTATTTATTTTGAGAGAGAGAGAGAGCACAAGCAGGTGAGGAGCAGACAGAGAGGGAGAGAGAGAATGCTAAGCAGGCTCCACAATGTCAGCACAGAGCCCGATGTGGGGCTCGATCCCACGAACCGTGAGATCATGACCGGAGCTGAAAACAAGAGTCAGACATGTTATAACAGACAGCCGCCCAGGTGCCAACAATGTCATCCTTTTAAATCACTAAAAAGGACAAGCAAAGCTTGGGGCCCAGAGCTCTGTCAGCCAGGAGGCCCGCGTTAAGTGGGGAGGGTTGCCGGGCCCATGGGGCCTCTACCGGGCGACACCTCCATGCTTTCAGGAACTAGGGTTAGCAGCTACCAGCATTTCTGGAGCAGAAGCAGCACTCAATAAAGTTTAATAATATAATGAAGCATAGATCTGACTGATGTCTGATAAACCTGTCTTTAAAAAATAGCCCAGGTGTAAGCCACTCAATTTTAGTTTCATTATATGGAATAAGCCATGTATGAGCTGCCTATTTTTTGGTCATTTTAGCTCTTTTATTTCCCTGGCCGAGGCCACTCTTGGTACGCTATCTGGAAGGCCAGTGGTATTAGCTCATCCATCCTGCTCTTGGGGAAGAGAAGTCGAGAAGCGAGGCACCCTGGTCACACAGAGCCCCTCCTTGTCTGCGAGAGGGAGGCCTGGTGAGTGGGGCGGCCACGCAGGAGCTAACGCAGACCTGTACGCCCGAGGACTTGGACTTGGCATTTCAGTTCACGAGGAAGACCAGCCACTGCCCTCAATCACACAGCCACTGGGTCGCTCTTTAGGAGGTGAAGCTTTCCTGAGCAAGGTGGCCTTCCAAGTGGCCACATTTTACGGGACACGGAGTGCCCGTAAGCAGAGTTTCCGTGGCCCATATGACCCCCCTGAGGGGAGTTTCCCTGCTACCCTGACCCCACTCCCCTACAACAGGGAGCAGCGGCAGGAACAGAGGAAAGAAGGGTGTCCTGATCGGACTGTTCGGGCTGGCCGAGTGGAAAGACAGAATGGAGGTGTCTGTGACAGTGGGCAGGGAGTCCTGGCTCAGTTTACCCCGAAGCAGGAGGTGGGGGAGGGGCGTGTACTCCCAAACCAACCCTGATTTTCATGGAGTTCATGTGACCTCAGCTTGGCGACTAAGTCCCCAGCTGAGGGGCAGGCGTGAGGGCTCAGGGACAGGAGGCACGTCAGGTCTGGGGACAGACACACAGACACAGGACCCAGGCCAGGCAGGTCAGCAGATCCCCGGGGGGTCCCCTCCGGGGCGGCGCACGGCAGCGTCAGAGGGAGCCTCATTTCTACTGACCCCAAAGGATAACAGGCCTCTCCGTCTCATGTCTCCTGTTGCAGTTCATGTTGCTGCAAATTCACTGTTCTTTCTGAAAGTATCACTCTACCACGATGGGTTGGAAATTTAAAACAACAACAACAACAACAACAAAAACTAAACTAAATGAACAGAGGAGGCCTTCCCCACAGAGTCTGAGAGGCCCTCGTTTACAGCCCGGGGATCTTCGCATCAGCAGCGGAGAGATTCTAGACCAGCTACTCCAAGCCCATGACACTGCCTTGGGGGCTGGCAGTGGGGGAGGCTCTCAGGTTCAGACAGGATGCTGCTAGTGAAAGACTGCGGAAGACCTCAGGATGAACCTCGTCAACCAGTGTGTCACTGTGTGTATCAGTGTGTGTGTGTGTACCTTGCGGGGGGTGGGGGTGGGGATCATACAGGTTTCCTGGAACACCCCTCCTTTGAAGTAAGTGCCAACACCTATACAGATAGAGCCTATGGTTTCACATTTTTATTTTATTTTATTTTATTTTATTTTATTTTTATTTTAATGTTTTGTTTATTTTTGAGACAGTGAAAGAGAGAGACAGGGCGGCAGCTGGGAAGGGGCAGAGAGAGGGAGACACAGAATGGGAAGCAGACTCCAGGCTCCAAGCTGTCAGCACAGAGCCTGACGTGGGGCTCGAACCCACGAACCGTGAGATCATGACCTGAGCCAAGTCGGACGCTCAATGGACTGAGCTACCCAGGTCCTCCTAGTTTCATATTTTAAAATTCATTCTTAGGCTTTTAAAAAGTTCTCCTATTTCAGGAATGTCTACTGAAAAATATACATTAATGGGAAGTAGCATTTAGTCATTTACGACTAAACAGCCTTTCTAGAACACTTGGAGGCCACGTACAATGTCGTCTGGGAATTAATTAAAGGTAGGCTGGCAGCCTGCAGAGTGACGGGGGTGTGTGAAGGGGGTGGGGCGGCCGAGAGGGCCAGGCTGGGGGTTCTGAAGATCGGCTGTCTCTAGCACATAACGCAGCTGCCAGGGTGAACGCCGACTGGGCAAGAGTTGGGGCAGCAGGCTCTGGCACCGACCTCTATTAGGATGTAATTACTAGTGACCTTATTTCCACATAATTTTGATGTAGCTGGTATGTTATTAGTTAATGGTTGTCTTACTCATTCATATTGAAAATTATTATTTTAATTACTAAATATCATTTGTTAATATCCATTAAGATTAGGTGAACAAAGTTAAATTACCTAATGTGCTTATTAACAGGTTTGATACAGCTAGTCGATGAAATCGACTTGCATTCTTATGCCAAGGGAACAGCTGCTATTATCTTGGATACTTCACTTAAATCTCTTTTGGCCTCAGTCTCCTCAGCTGGAAAATGGGAGTTCCAATAATAGCGAACTCACAGGGAAGATCTGCAGATATAAATGATATAAATACCGATATGGTATGAATGGCCTAGATGGCAAAAATCCTTTGTGATAGATTCTGTTGGACATTTTAACATGACTTCCCCCCGCCGCCCACTACAGGAATAACACATCTAGTGTTAAAAACTACAAAATATATAAAACTAAGGGTCTCCTATAATCTCCAACAGCCAACTTGAGCCACTATTAATTATTTTGGGTAATTTCCCCAGCCTCTTTTTGTGGGGAGTGTGCTACTTATTACTGATAATTTAATACTACTCAATACTGATACTGGTATTTTAAAAAAAACTGGGGAATACCTGGGATGTTTTTAAATGACAGTTTTCAATTAATCATTTCCTGTGAATATATATTTCTATGTCATTATATATGTTGCTACAACCTATTTTGTCTGGGCTGGATATAACTAAAGAGCAGAATTTATTTAAACCATTAAATTTGTTCTAACTCGTAAGTTATTTACTTTCTTTGTTTCTGGTGTTCAAGAAACACTTTGATGAGCACCTTTGCTGCTTAGCATTGGTGCCTGTAAGATTAATTTCTAAAATTAGTATTGCAGGATAAAAAGTATGTCTGTGTTTATGTTTCCTGATGACTACTGCAGATTGTCGTCAGGGAGAGTTACATCGCTTTATAGCACCTGCAGCCATGAATGTGGACAGTCCCGCCCACTCCCTTGTCGAGCTCAGACATCACGTACTGTGGGGTTGGAGAGGAATCATGTAGAAGGTGTGTGCATCCACAAATGGCTTTCTCGCTGTTCCCTTCGATCTATGAAGGGGGAAGCCCGGCTGTTTCTGGCTCCCCTGGGACTCTTAATCACTCTAATATTGGAGTTTCTGTGCAGTGTGTGAGCACATGGGGGTCCCCTGGCAAAGCCCATCACCATCTCTCTTTCTGACGACTTATTACTGGGCCAGCAGTGGCTGGTTGACAAAATTCTACCTAAATTTTAAAGAGTCTATTGTGTATTCTTAACCATTTTTTCAGAGACTCCCTTGTCCCTCTGCTACCAGCCTGGTACCCCCGTGCGAGCTGGCGCCATTCATTCTAGGAGGGAGGGCCAGACCACAGTTCATCTAAATCTTTCTCTACAGAAGGCGGCTTCAAATTGCCCACAGTGAGATCACAGCCAATAAACCCTTGCCATGCATCCTGCCTCTCACTCTTCGCATAACAAAAACAGAAAAGCTGTAGTCTAGCGCTCATGGGGGGTTATGATAATGCCTAAAATGAGAAGCAGGGCCCCTTGGACAAGGGACGGATTTACACCAGGCTTTCTTCCCATGCCCGCGGGGACACCATTAGGGACCTTGGTCAACCTGCCTCAGAAGCCCTCTCAGAAACACCACCAGACACCCCAACTCTGCGTGGAGAGCTGGCGACATCCCAGGAAACTGAAGACAGGAGATGGGAAAAAGGACCCAAGCCAAACATCAAGGGAACAAATCAGCGAAAGGAGAATGAAGAAGGGAATCTGCTTTATTACCATGGCTGATGGAGTTTAAAAAATTGGCCAAGATTTTTAAAGTATACACACTAAATCATCAGTTTCAGACTCCAGAATAGTTCCTTTAGCAGTCTCGAAACTTGACTCTACGGGACAGAAAACAGGTGGGCATAATCTACTTTAGATGATCATGTGGGAAAGGAGACTAGCAAGACTTTTTTGCATTAATGATTCATGAAACGAAGTTACTAAAAGTAAATCACTGACTTAAACCTGTTCACTTAAAAGACTGACGTATTAGCAACTTTTGACATTGGAATCTTGGCCCTTCTGGACGGTGGTTACACTGAGTCAGTCGGCAAGGATTATTTGAGGATACAAACAGTGGGCAGCGTCTGGGGCCAAAGGAGAGGCAGAAACACGACAGGCAGTCCCGTCACCAGCAAGGAAGCCAACGCTATTCCACGGGGACAATTAGCAAAACCCATCCGCGAGGAATCCAGAGCTTCAGTGACATACAATCCAATGTCAAACGCTGAGATACATGCTATAAAATGTAGCAATAACAGAATAAAAGCAGAGACATCTGATTTGCCCGTGTGTCTAATCTGTGTCCTCCAGCCCCGGCTTCTTTTACCGAGGGCTGGCGCATTTTAGCTGGTCGGGGCTTCCTCAGGTATGGCCACCAAAGAGGAAAAGTAACATCTACGGCAGGTCAGAAAGTGGACGCCATCCCGTTAAATGGGCTCACAGCTTACAGCAAAACAACACAGAGCAATAATAATAAGTGAAAGGCTCTTACCGGGAGGAAAAACAAATTGTGTGCGCGCAGAACTGCTGCCTGATTACTTAAGGCAGAGAGACTTGTGTTTGATGTATTGGCAGTTGGAGGAATTGTTTTCTCTGGGTCGCTCAGGAAAAACTGCAAAGAAAATGTTTTTTTTCAATGAATTAATGCCCAAGAGATTAAAGAGTTAGCAGGTGGGTGCGAAATTATTAATGACTGTGTCCCCCCTCCCTTCCCCTAAGCAGGAGTATGTGGGCAATCAGGTGTCTGCCTTTCAAATGCTAAGAGCTGCATCTTCTGTTTGAAGCTTGGAGAATTTCTAGGAAACAAGGAAATAGCTACTTATTGTAGCGCGCCACACTTCTGGTGAATTCCAGAGCTACAAGACAATATTAAAGAAAACAAACACTTCCACACTTCTGTTAGGTACTGAATTAGAAATGCACAAAGCAAAAGGGCAGAGGGCTTGGTTAGAATTATGTCTGAGGATGAGATCATCTTGCACACAGATTCAACTCTCTACCGAGAAAGGAGAGCCTTCAATTTTTTTTTCAGTGTCTTTACCATCTTGCTTCAAACATTAACCGGGTCGATGGAGATTCTGACTTTAAGAAATTAATTGTGTGAGCAAAATGCACTACCCGGCGTCAGCATTTCTATGTATTTTTGTGAGCGCTTCGCAGCTCAGGATCATGAAGGGTAAAATGTTGAGAGGGTGAACGCTCTGAGTAAGAACTGTTGGAAAGGGGTCCTCATTCTGTGAAAAAAGGAATCCTGAGAAAACTAGCTCTTAAGTCATGGTCACCTGTATCAGCACCCGGAAGGAAAGTGTCATCCAGTTAGCAAGGTAGAAGGAGTTCAGTCTCTGTCTCTCTTTCTCTCATTTTCTTTGGTTTTTCTGTTTCTCTGTGTTTCTGTCTTTCTTTTTCTTTCTGTCTCTTTCTTGGAGAAGCTGCAGCACACGCTTTTTTTTTTTTTTTTAATGTTTATTTATTTTTGAGAGAGAGACACAGAAAGCATGACTAGGGGAGTGGCAGAGAGAGGGAGACAGAGACCTGAGGCAGGCTCCATGCCAACAGCACAGAGCCCGATGTGACTCAGACTCACAAACCACGAGATCATGACCTGAGCAGAAGTTGGCGGCTTAACTGACTGAGCCACCCAGGTGCCCCTGCAGCGCACACTAATGAGGTGGCCATGGACCAGCCACTTTTCCGTACTGTGGCTGAGGGTCAGGGAAGTGCCTGCTTAAAGGTAAACCAGGAATCACTCTGGCCAGGTACCCTTCACTGAGAGAAATGCATCTCATCCAAAAACTAGATTGTGTTTTCTGCACAGGGCTAACCATACATATTCAAGGGTTAAATGGATAAAGAAAATGTGGTGTATAAACACACACACACACACACACACACACACGCACACACGCACACAGGCACATGCCTACACACATACTGAAATATTACTCGGTGATGAAAAATGAAATCCCGCCATTTGCAGCAACGTGGATCGAATTAGAGGGTATGATGCTAAGGGAAATTAGTCAGAGAAAGACAAATATAAGACTTTACTTACATGTGTAACTTAAGAAATACAACAGATGAACACAGAGGAAGGGAAAGAAAAATCAAACAAGAAAAACAGGGAGGCAAACCACAAGAGATTCTTAAATACAGAGAACAAACTGAGGGCTTCTGGAGGGGAGGTGGGGCGGGGTATTGGATGAAACGGGTGATGGGCATCAAGGAGGGCACTTGCCGTGAGCGATGAGCACTGGGTGTCACATCCAAGTGATGAATCACTACATTCTACTCCTGAAACCAATACTACCCTGTCTGATAACTAACTTTTAATAGTAAAACCTTTCTGCATAGGTTCTATAATTGCTTTTGTTTGCTTCTTTTTAAAAAATTTCTTTCAATGTTTATTTATTTTTGAGAGACAGAGAGAGACAGAGTGCGAGCAGGGGAGGGGCAGAGAGAGAGGGAGATAAAGAATCCCAAGCAGGCTCCAGGCTCTGAGCTGTCAGCACAGAGCCTGATGTGGGTCCCGAACTTACAAGCCGTGAGATTACGACCTGAGCTGAAGTTAGATGCTCAACCCACTGAGCCACCCAGGCTCCTATTGATGTATCTCCCTTGATGGCACATAACTGACTTCAGCACATAAGGCCTTTACTCAGCTTATTCTGAAGAACACTCCTCTAGGATTCCAAGAATGATCCTAGATACAGTGTTTCTTCTCATTGTATCATTTGGGAACTCACAGAAAAATGCTGATTACAGCATCAAAGAAATATTGATTTCTTTACATGCCTCTAAAAGATTTGTCACAAATGCGACAACCTCTGGTTGACTTCTAAATGTGCTAATTCTTTGGAAAAAATATTGTATCAGGACAAAAAAAATGGAGCAATTACTTGGCAAATGCAGGGCTCCAAAGTTTTACAAATGTTGATTTGACAGATCCCAAATACAGCTGATGTAAATATTAAAGAATCAAGAAATGACAAAGAAAAGGAGACGGTGTGTCTCAGTAGGTTACTAGGCTTCAGCACCTGGGATCTTAAATACTAACAAAAACTTCTGGATTGGATCCCCATGGAGAGAAAAAAATAAATTTTTGCTTCACTAAGAGTAGAATATATCCTGTGAAAACTCCGTCTTACAAGGAGGCTATCTAATAAATAGGATGATTTGAACTTGAAAAACAAGAGAGAACTTCAGTCACTATCCCCAACCCTGCTTTCTTAAGCCCTCTGCTCCCTTTTCCTAATATTTTTTTTTTATGTCTTTATTTCATTTTGAGAAACAACGACAGAGAGCAAGCGGGGGAGGGGCAGCGAGAGGGGGAGACAGAATCCGAAGCAGGCTCCAGGCTCTGAGCTGTCAGCACAGAGCCCGATGTGGGGCTTGAACCCACGAACAGTGAGATCATGACCTGAGCCGAAGTTGGAGGTCCCCCTCTTTCTAGTATTTACTAACTACCCCTGAAATCAAGAAACCTCTCATTTGGTCTGTGACCTCACACTGCACTTTGGCATTGATTTCCTCTCTTCTGCCTTCTTAGTCACTTTAAATTCTTTCTAAAAAATTTTTATTTATATATTTTTATTTTCGACAGAGAGAGCATGAGCGGGAGAGAGAGGCAGAGGGAGAAAAGGAGAATTTCAAGTAGGCTCCATGCTGAGCTTGGAGCATGACGTGGGGCTCAGTCTCATGAATTCAAGATCATGACCTTGACGGAAACCAAGGCTTAGATGCTCAGCCACCTGAGCCGCCCAGGCTGGTGTTTCGTGCGCACAGAGGCTTTGGTTGGGATGATAATGTTCTGGAAATAGCATTGATCAGTGCACAACCATGTGAAACGTGCTCAGTGCCACTCGGGTGCACATTTGAAGATGGTTACAATGATAAACCTGATGCATATTTCACCCTGAGACACATTAGAAACAGAAAAAGAAAGAGAAGGAAGAAAAGGAGAGCGTTTTTGCTTTACCCCAAAGAGAACACTTAAAAAAATCACAAGAGCTTTTCGAAACGACCTGAGGGAGGCTATGGCTTTCAGAGGAAATACTTTCGGATAGAAAATTAAATTTTCTTGCTGGTGACGTAAGCAAAGCAGGCACTTCTCCCCCAACACACACACACACACACACATACACACACACACACACGAGCTGCTCTTCCTGTTAAACTGTGAGTCCAAGGCCTGAATCAGCCTCGCTGGGTTAACAAGGGCCAAGAAATGGCAAAACTACACTTGGGAGCTGGGCTCAGTTCGTCTAGAAATTGTGTTCTCAAAGGAAGCACTGCACAAATTTAAAAGGCTGTGCTGAATTCGACAGAAAGGTCTCCAGGAAGGGGAACGGAAGCAGGGCCAGGGGAAAAGGCACAGAAGTAAGGTTGGGAACATTTAACGGCACAGGAAAGACAGATGGTACCCGTGTCCCAGGGGAAGGGTCCTGCCCTGAGTGTGAGTGAGTGACCGGGGGGCCCACCTCCCACACGCGGCACCTGCTGCGCTCAGCCTCTGAGCGCTGCCTCAGCACCACCTAGGGATCTATGACCCAGGGGCGGTCACAGCGGCCTGCGGTGTGGCCTGTGACACAGGACTCTGTGTCTGCCTTGCTCAGTCATAACCTAGGGGACGGGGATCTGGGCAGGAGGAGGGCCTTTCTCCATCAATCCTCCGATATAGTCAAAGACCCCACCCTCGTGAACAAGTCCTTCCCCTTCTGTGATTAATAAGAAGTCAGGGGCGCCTGGGTGGCTCAGGCGATTTAAGCATCTGACTTTTCAGCTCAGGTCATTATCTCGTGGTTCCTGAGTTTGGGCCTCACGTTGGGCTCTGTGCTGACAGCTCAGAGCCTGGAGCCTGCTTGGGATTCTGTGTCTCCCTCTCTCTCTCTGCCCCTCCCTCCCTCACTCACATGTACGTGTTCTCTCTCTCTCAAAAATAAACATTAGGGGCGCCTGGGGGGCTCAGTCGATTAAGCGTCTGACTTTGGCTCAGGTCATGATCTCATCGTCTGTGGGTTTGAGCCCTGTGTCGGGCTCTGTGCTGACAGCTCAGAGCCTGGAGCCTGCTTTGGATTCCGTGTCTCCCTTTCTCTCTGCCCCTCTCCCCCTCATGCTCTATCTCTCTCTTGTTCTCTCAAAAATAAACATTAAAATTTTTTTTATTTTAAAAATTAAAATAAACAAACATTAAAAAAATAAAAAAAAATCATAAGGAAGCTTTACCACCAGGGAAAATGACTTCCTTTCTCTACCTAACGTTGCCTTTTATACTGTTTTATGATGTTTCTTTGAAATAAATCCAAGAGGCACATCAGGGAAAAGACCCATTCATTCCATGGCACCAGATATCAATGAAAATGATGGATGGAAAAAGCTTATTCCTTGCCCACAGCCTCTGCCGCTGTAGAAGGCGGCTCGGTTTGTCCAGCAAAGCCTTAGTTCATGTCTTCTTCAGGGCCATCTGTCATACTCCTCTTGTGTGTCCCCCAGACCTCCCTCTCTGCCGTAGATGGCGACAGATTCCTTTCTGGGTGAGACGGAAAAACAGCCCTGGGAGAGGTCTTCCTGGTCCTGAGGATGCATCTCTTCTCCAAAGAAACCCACTTAATGAAAAAAAAAAAAAAAAAAAATCTACATGCTCAGCTCCTCAAACGTTTACACACAGTGACTGAATGGCCTGCTGGTCACACTAAATATTCTATAGGAAATGCAATCAGAGGTTTCCCAGGAAGGTTGTGCTTTGAAAAAATTAGGTGATAAATCCTGGTTTTATGAGGCCAAACTGGACCTCCCCGAAAGAAATGGTTTCTTTTTTAAAGGGCGGCACGCTTCCTCCTTCATTCGTTCTTAGGTTTAGTAACCACTGAAGGGCCGGTCCTGATGGAGGTGCTTTCCCGAAACGTGCTGGATGGGGGAGGCGGGAGGTCTCGCTGTTAAGTGTGTGGATGTTGTTTAAATGTCTTGTTCTGTAATGTGCATGGGGGGCTGCTGGCCAGTGCCGGATCTGCGGAGTGTTCTATGCGCTCTGCGTGCACAGCTGGGGGAAGGCGCTCAGCACAGACGACGGGGCTGAACCATAAAGCCCTCCGTCAAGGCAGCTGAACACCATCCGCGCTGTATCTCAGAACTCCAGCTAGCGCACCGTGCGTTCTGTGCCCCACCCCTCACGGCGCCAGTTTCAAAGGATATACCAGTAATGGTACCATCGACACAGTAAGAGCGACCGCTGGTTAGGTATTTGCAAGGCACTGCTCCTGCCCTAAGCACGACAGCGACGGGAGAAAAAAGGCCAAGGGTGGGCTTAGCTGTGACTTGGGTCTCCAGGCAGGAGACCTGAGGCATACAGACTGGGACTCTCCTACGATGCCCTTAAGGACTTCCTTTAATGTTTTACCACAATAGCTTTGCTCTGGTGAGCGTACCTTCACTCTGATAACCCTCAACCTCCCCTCCAAATATATGTTAGCATTACCTTCCAAACATACGGCCCACTGATATGCATCTGAAGGGTCTCAGGACTAATGTTTTACGAGGCAGCAGTAAGTAACCTTATCTTCTAACAGTGGCTGGCTCTTCAAGGTCCTGAAGTCTTGCTTCCAAATTCCTTAGAAACTTATGCTAACCCTAAGCCCCACTAACTAAAGAGCACTGAATCGGTCGCTCTTCACAAACACAAGTGCAGCTCTCCTTGCCCACAGGTCCTGTCCCCGCGCTATAATAAAAGCACCTCTGTGCACCAAAAATGTCTCGAGGATTCTATCTCGACCATTCGCCCCCGGCCCCACATCAGGAGGAATGCCAGCTCGTTTGCCCCGGTGGAGCAGGGTCAGAGCTCGTTTTCCAGAAGTGGAAATGGAGCCTGTGAAAGTTTCACGGAAACAAACCCTCTGAAATCCCACAGCTGGACAAGTGGGGGCCAGTGTTTGGGATTGGGCCTGTGAAACCCCAGAGAAGGACACCTCTCCCACTGCACTGCCTGTATCTAGATGGTTCTGTGATTACCCCGCTGACAGTCAGGGTCTGTAGATAGCAGGGCGTGGAAGCTGCTGGAAGGCACCGCCCTCTCCAGACTGACTTCTGCAGAAAGCATCCTAAGCCTTAGTGATGCTGAGGGCAGAGCAGCTGTTGAATTTAAGAGGCGGTAACTGGTGTCACCATGGAGCTCTGGTCAGGGTTTGAGAGTCCCACCGAGTCAGGCATCGGAGGCAAAGAAGGCCGTGCCGGGCGGGAGCCCTGACTCACCATGTTGAACACGGCCATGGTCAGGATGATGGTGGTGGTAAGGACCGTGAGGGAGACCCGTGGCCAGGGCCGGTCGGCAATGATGCTGGACGACTTCAGCAGCCACAGCAGAGAGGAGGAGGCCTTCTTGCTGCATTGCTGGGAGGAGACAGGAAAGGAAATGGATCACACTTTCTTCATGAGTTTTAAAACCACAAAAGGCATCAGTACTCTTCCAGAACAAACACGTAGGCTCTGATCTCCCCTGGAACTCCATACCAGCCCATAAACCTTACTCACACTATGTGAGCATCATGGTTACAAGAAAAGAGCAAATCAGTCAAGTTTCTATGATAAATATAGAATGTGCTTGTATGTCCTTTCAAACAGACCTGAAATTATGGTTAAAGAAAAAAATCCCTGGGGTGTCTGGGGGCTCAGTCAGTTAAGTGTCTGACTTTGGCTCAGGTCATGATCTCCTGGTTCATGAGTTTGAGTCTCGTATCGAGCTCTGTGCTGACAGCTCAGAGCCTGGAGTCTGCTTCAGATTCTGTTTCTCCCTCTCTCTCTGCACCTCAACCGTGCTCCTGCCCTCCATCTCTCTCTCTTAAAATTAAATAAATGTTAAAAAAAAAACTCTGATAAAGGAAAACTATGTCAGTTAATTAAAGCACTCTGGGGAATGTGTTGGGTCTCAGATCACAGCAATGGTAACACAATGATCAATAATTCAGCCTGTTCACGTGGAACACAGATGGGCAGGGAGCTAGTCATAATCCATCTGGCTACCAAGCGGACTGAGGCCCTCACCGCCATTGTTCTCAGGCGTGTGTCCTGATGATGGCTTTACCTTATCTCGCCCTGCGGAGGCTTCTTTCCACACGGAGAGGTTCCTTTCCAACATTTTAATGGTGTTAAAAAACATGTAAGGTAACACTTTCCCTCTTAACCACTGTTAAGCACATGGGTCAGCACAATGTTGTGTCGACATCTCTGTTAAGTTTTCATCTCGCACAACTAGAGTCTATATGCTCTGAAGAACTCTCCTCGCTCCTTCCCCTTGCCTCTGGCACCTGCCATCTTACTTTCTGTCTCTAAGAGTTTGACTACTTGGGGCACCTGCTGAAAGTGGAATCATGCAGAATTTGTCTTTTTGTGACGGGCTCATTTTACTCAGCATAATGTCCAGGTCCATCCACGCTGTCACGTGTGACCGGATCTTGTTTCTGCAAGGCTGAAGAACATTCCATCCAATGCATATACCACATCTTATTTGTCCATTCGTCTGTGGACGGACACTGCGTTGCCTGTGACTTTTGGCTACCGCGAATAATGTGGCGGGGAGTGTGGGTGCTGGGAGAAACGCTATTGATACAAGAAGGGATTGAGGTATTTACGGAGTGGAAGCTGGTGTTCCCTCATCATTTTCTGTGGGCCGGACTCTGCTCTGTGGGATGTCAGTGGATGAGCTCCCCTCATCCTGAAGGCCACTCTTCCAGAGGGTTTGCTGTAATTCAGACCTTTGTCCAGGTGGTGGCACGATGGAGGCCGGGACAGGTAAGGCGTGGGTGACAAGATGCTGCGCCAGGTGCTGCGGGGGTGGACAGACGTCACCTGATGTGACGAGCCATACATGACAGTTCTCTAGGGCTCTCCACTTTAGCCTTCGTATGAAAGGGGTTGTGGGCCTCTCTGGCTATGTGTCCTCAAAACACAAGGCCATGATTTCAAAAATTAAAAAAATATATATTTATTTTTGAGAGAGAGACGGGGGGAAGGGGCAGAGAGAGAGGGAGACCCAAAATCTGAAGCAGGCTCCACGCTCTGAGGGGTCAGCACAGAGCCCAATGTGGGGCTCAAACTCATGAACTGTGAGATCCTAGCCTGAGCCTAAGTTGGGCTTTCTGACTCGTACCACTAAGTGAATATAATGGCAAAGCTGGTGTGACATCGATAAAACTCAAACAGTGCGTCCTCAGTAGCACGGATAAACAGCACTTATATTTATCTACCTCTTTCTCTTTAGTCTTGAAAACAGAAGCAGTGCAGTACATTAAATGCTGACCCAGCAATTACGTGAGACCCTGTACTGCGGGACGAGAGGTGGCCAGGGCAGTGAGAACCAGCCCAGGGGCCCAGAGCTCAGCGACTTTCCGTAGGTGAACTGTCCTCTCTGGCCTCAGCCTCCCCAGCTGTAAGATGGGGACAATAATAATAATAATACCTGCCTTCTTGGTCTTGTAAGAGGTTAAATGAGCTGCACCAGGCACCAGGGGAAGGACTCAGGACTCAACAAGTGTTAGGTCGTCTTGTTACGCTTATGAAGAAAACATAATAATTCTCAGAGACATTTAATGACTAAAGGTCTCTTGGCTTTCTATCTATATGAACAGTAAAACCTCATTTTCCCTCCTTTCCACTGTGGCTTTTCCTCCAGGCAGCCTGCCTTCTCTCTTCATTCCTGTCACCAGGTAGAGGCCAAGTGAAGAAAACTGTTCACAAATATGGAAATCAGAAAATATTGTTGGTGGCGAGGACCAGGAAACAGCAGGTGACAGAGACGTGAGCCCTGAGCCGATGTGTATGAGGAGGAGGAAGGGGGGGGGAGGAGGAGGAGGGGGAGGGGAGGAAAGGAGGGGGAGGGGAGGAAAGGAGGGGGAAGACGTTTGGGGAGCAGAGGATGCCAAGGAGGAGAAAAAGGGCGGAGGAGAAAAGAGACGACGGTCTCCAAGTAGAAGGATCTGACTAAGGGAAAGGATGATGCGATTGTAGCTTTGAATAAAAAGCACAACGTGGATCCTGCCATGAGGATTGAGCTCCATTTATCTTGTTTGGGGTTAACTATTCAAGTACAGTCCCAGACGGGAAAGTTTGTCAAAATTTACACCATCCTAATCGAACGTTGTAAGTGATATCACCTCCTAGAGTATTTTGGCTGAATATTCATTCGGAAGGTGCTCTTCTGATGGAAACTCGAGCCCAGTTTTATTCCTGTGTGATCTCTGATTTAATGACTGGCAGCATTTCAGCCAGGTCCACGGCCTCCCTTTCTTGACTATCAGTGAGTCTCACTGCATACACGATGGGCCCCTGCTTACTGCGAGCCTGCCAGAAATGTGCTTGGCTCTTAATGCCACCCCCCCCCCCCAATGAAAATGTGGAACTGGGAGTAACTGCAGTGGGAGACGTGAAAGGAAAAAGAATGTCCATTTGTATGGAAGCCCTGTCACGGCGTGGGGACTGGGGACCAGTGCAGCGTGCTAGCAGGGGTGTGGGATGAATGCCAACGTTCTCCACCCGGTATAGGCAGAGGATTCGCCCCAGAAAAATAATATGTTCATATACTGTATATAGATTAAAAAACAAAAAACAGAAAACAGGAGGGGTGCCTGAGGAGCTCAGTTGATTAAACATCCAACTTCAGCTCAGGTCATAATCTAATGGTTCATGAGTTCAAGCCCTAAGTCAGACTCTGTGCTGACAGCGCCGAACCTGCTTGGGATCCTCTCTCTCCTTCTCTGCCCCTCCCTCACTCATGCTTTCTCTCTCTCTCAAAATAAATAAACTTAAAAAAAAAAAAACATAGGAAAAAATATATCCCCCTCTTCCTCCCCCCCAACTTTGAACCTCTTGCACAGGAAACAATTGGTAATCTCTCACTTTAAAATTTCTCCTGATTATATGGGGTGCCCCGATGGCTCAGTTGGTTAAGCATCTGACTTTGGCTCAGGTCATGATCTCATGGTTCATGGGTGTAAGCCTTGCATCGGGCTCTGTGCTGACAGCTAGCTCAGAGCCAGCAGCCTGTTTCGGATTCTGTGTCTCCCTCTCTCTCTGACCCTCCCCTGTTCACACTGTCTCTCTCTCAGAAATAAAGAAAACATTTAAAATAAAGTTTAAAAATTTCTCCTAATTATAATGGCAGATTGCATTAACAATTTCATCTGCATCCTTTAGAAAAATAAAATCAGTTACATGAAAAGAAGTAGATGTTGCTCTTATGTAAAGTGTAATATAATTAAAAACATTTAGAAAGGCTACAAATATATCATAATGGGGGTAGCAAATTTTTATTATTAGAAAAACAAAACTCATCTTAGACTCTTGCCTGAAAAAGGGTAAAGTTTATCATAGACACACACGCTTTTGTGTATTTGTCTAGAGGAACACCTTCTTTGGCATCTTAGTTGGCCAAGGACTGTTGCTTTGAATGACACAGCTCCACAAGCTGCAGGAATAATTAACATTTAGTGTTACACAGACTGCCATGTGTACTTTGACTCTTTAATTGCACTTGGATTTCCTACAGAAAGGCTGCTCTATTTCAATCAATCATATTTTATAAAGTCAACATGTTTCTTGCTATGCCCTGAGCGAACCACTTTCCTCAGCCATCCATCCATCCATCCACTGTGTAGCACTCATGGCCCGTCGACCTCGGTTTACCTTTGATGATGTGTTTGTCTTTGGCTATCTGGAGAGTTGGCCGCAGATGGTGGCCACATCGCACCTGCCGTTGTATCCCCAAAGCAGCACAATGCAGAGCAAAGACCAGGGACTCAACGGTTGCTTACTCAGTACATCTTTATCTTAACAGTGGACCCAAAGAGAAATTTCCAGGGGCCAGAAACAAAGAAGGTGCTCAGTGCTAGAGGGACTGGGGCTGTGGGGTTGGCCTAGGAGTGTCTCAGAACAGGACATAGGCTCTAACACCTAGGGGTTGATGTCCACAGGAGGAAAATATGTGTTGCCTTGAGCTTTCAAAGGGTGGGGAAGCTGAGGCCAAGACCCTTGAATAAAACCAGAAGCCCCAAGGGGAGCACATTTCGTTTTGAGTTAGTGTTTTCATTTTCTCTGGGTAAATTCTCAGTAGTGGAATTACTGGATCACCTGAGCACTAAGTAATGTATAGAATTGATGATTCATTATACAGCACCTGAAACTAACACACATGTTGTATGTTATACGTTAACTATACTTCAATACACACAAAAGAAACAAAAAATCCTAGAAGCCTCAGAATGCCTCCTGTGAAGTCTAAAAAAAACTCCATGTGCTAGTTCAGGGAAGTGTCAATAAACTTATGATAAATTCCATTTCTAAATATGGGTGATGAATTTGAAATTACATTATATGCTTCATAATGGGAACCCTGAGTT